ATAAAAAAGAGAACGGTACACAACAGCCTTAAGGATCATGGAGAAGATACAGAATGCAATGTAATTGTTATCAATTTTTTCAAGAACTGTTTTCCTAAGATTTTTCATGTGGTTTGGAGCTACTTCCTCCCATGATCTATGTAAATATTATGCCGATAATATCTTTCTTGTTTCTCTTTTGTTTTTTACAACTGGATATGCTGCATTCCTCTCCTTTGATATCTTTCTTCCTTTTTCACAAAGGATACAGGGATTTCATTTTTCTTTTTCTTCTAATTCAACTTATCAATTATGGAATCAGAATGCTATCACGCATGTTAAATATTTGACGTCACTGCATACCATGTATGTTGTTCTACTTATAAGAGTGTTAGCTTTATTCTCTGATTTTGGGTGACTTAAATTTGGAAGAGAAACTTCAAAGATGTCCGATGGATGAATTTGAAGAAGATGGATTTCCTTTCTGATGTACATGAATGAATTTTTTGTAAAGGTTGTTAAAACTGAAGAAGAGGGGGAAACAACTTAAATAGTATGTTACTTGGGAAAAGATTAATGCTTTGATTTTGTGGGGCTAGGAAAAAACTTGGGCTACATTTTTTAAATGAAAACATTTTCCAATTTTCATTTCTTAACTGCATATGTTTTAACATTTTTGTATACACGGTCATATGTGAGATGTGATGCTTAAATATAAACAAAAGTAGGTTCTAAAGAACACTAGAATCTGTTTTTTATTATTTTAAATTCACCTCATGCTTTACTTTCATTTCCTGAATATTGTTTTATTCTCAGCTATCATCAATGTTCTTACGTATATGTATATGAATTTATAACTTCACTTTGGAAATACTTTCATGTCAAATGGAGACCATTTTTTATTTATTATTTTCCAAATTTGTTTTCCGTATCTTGAAATTTCCTGTGTGCATACATGTATGAACATATTATTCTGATATCGGAACTCTGAAATTCTCTCTTGATAAGCACTATGTTTAATTTAAGCTATTCCCCTTGTACCGCAGTTAAGTGTCAAATTTAATCTCATATGCCTTCAATGATTATGGTTTTCAGGTCTTTTGGCAGAAACAATCCTAGCGAGAGAGAGAATTTAAATCCGCAGCAACGTCCTCTTGCTGTGACACCTCTTAACAGCATGCCATACATTGGACCACCTTCCCCACCTGGAAATCCTTCTTCTTCGTCCTTGCCTACCCAAGCGGAGGATGATGCTGCAGATGGAAGCGGGCCAACTGTGATATTTCTGCCTTCCAACGCACCTCAAGAGGAGGTGGAAAATCTTGCAGCTCAAACACAAACTGGAGTTGTGCTGACTGGTAGTGCAGCTACAGGGATGATTGGACCATCAGTTGGAGCAGTGAACATTGGAGAAAATGAGGATTCGTACTATTTTCGAGTTAACCTCCCTGGAGTATCAACTGATGAAAGTAAGTTTTCTTGATGTTAACGTTTGACAAATTACTTTGTTCGTGGTTCCTTCTTGCCAGCAGTATTTCTCTTTAAATTATGCCAGGTGCTTCTACTCTGCTGGAAAAAAAAAATCTTACCATCTTTTTGTTTTCTGTACCTTAGATAACGCTGATGCAGGGAAAAGACTTATAAGAGTTTATGTAGTCTAGAGGTTTGCTTGTTGGTGTTTGCTTTAAAATGAAGCACCTATAATGCATAGCTAGTTCTTTTGCTATGGTGCAGAATTGAGGTTGCAAAGCAACAAGCAGGCTAACTGCTATAAAGTTCAAGTTAGATATGCCATGGAAATAAAACCCGAATCATTTTATTTTATCTGCTCCATTATATTATTAACTTCCTGTTGTGCTTAATGTGTCAATCCACTTTGTGTATGTAGAGGATTTCAGCTTTACTATTGACCCTGATGGGACAGTATTTATCAAGGGAATAACAACAACTGGGGAGAAAACAGTCTGCAAGCACTCCCAAGTCTTCAGGATGCTGTCTCAAAATTTATGCCCACCAGGTCACTTCACCGTTACGATTCAGCTACCTGGTCCTGTCAACAATCAAGAATTCAAGGGTCATTTCGGAACTGGGATTCTTGAAGGTGTAGTGAAGAAAAGGTTGGCATAGTGTCCAACTTAATTAGCAAGCTTTATACTTGTTGTCAAATGAAGGTCACTAGGGGCTTCTATTCTAGTTGTGTGCCATCTGCTTTCTCTTGGACATTTGGAGTTGACTAACTAATAAGGTCTTAAACATAACTATAGGCTTTTCTACATTAACAATGAAAAAACGACCCAAATTCAAGAATACTGTGCACTATCTGCTCTCTCTTATGATTTTGAAGTCCGCTTATTTTCCATAGATACTAGGAAAAGCTGATATTTAGAAAAGTCAACTCCTACTGGTTAAAGAGAAAGATGTTGAGGCGTGACGCACTGGTACAAGTCCTACTGATCTTTGCTTTGTCAAGAGATAAATGCTTGCTAATTGGTCACTGTAAAAATTGGGTATAGACATGGTTGCCTTGATAGGGTTGTGGTATAGCTTCTAGAATAGCGAAAAGTGCTCTCAAATAAATGTTTTCTGTTGTGTTTGTTGTAAAACTTGGTCCAGTCAGAACTCTTTTGTTGGAAGTTTCAAACTATTATCATAATAATCTATTTGAAATCCTTGTTTACATTATTGCATTTCTGCTTTCTCTACTTGTTAATTGTTGAAGCTTCATGATCAATCTCAGTTCCTCAAAACTTAGGAATGTTGGTCTCTTGTCAGATTCTTTGCTCATTTTGTGGGAACAAGGGCTACCCCTGTAGCTACTCTATGTGCATTACTATCATCAGAGTAAGATTTGGCCATTAAATGTTTCTGTTTGAATCATAATGACTATTTGTAATCATAGTGATTGCCTTTTACGAGCTTGTTCCATCGAACGCAAAAGATAATTTTTGCACCTGGTTCATGTTTGAAGTGCCAATCATATTCTTCCTGTTTATTTCCATTTTGGAGAAGATTGGTGTGAAGGATGCTTTATTTGCATGGTAAAACAATGGCTTAGAACGTTCTAAAAATAACTTTTGCCCTCTTTTTGTAAGTAAAGGTGTTTATTTTTTCTTGCTAGATGAAGTATGCATAAGGATGTGTATATAGGCTACTCAAATTGGGAATAGAGCCAATTGTAAACAATTAGAAAATAGTCCACTTCATAGGTAGTATTATATATAACAACTAAAAACATGTGTACTAATCTTGTTACCACAACATCATAAGATGAATTTTACATATTTTTTCTTATTTTGTTTTATAATTTTACATGATATGTGGATTGAAATTGCTACTTGACAACACAGGGATCGTAGTCCAGTGTACTCTTTGAAATGAGAGAGAACGGTATCATAATATTTCTTCATGTTCTTTTTCTGCTGTTAACAAAGCATCGAACTGATTCGGTTTCTGTCAATGAAAATCTTGAAAATAAGAACAACAATGGAGAGCTTGAGAAGGAAATAATGGGATTCACAGCTCCATTAATAGCTTCCTAAATCCAACTTGGGCTCACTGCAAAATAGCCTTTATTTACATAGCTATCTCAAGGAACCTCCATGGAGAGTGAAACATCATGTCTTGCTTAATCTGGATCCTACATAATTGAAGAGAAATCCAAGAGGCCGAAGAAAGAAAAACAGAGAAAAAAAAGAACAAAAAAATAATGGAGTTCTTTGTTAAAAATCTCTCTCAGTAGAATCTTCTTCTACCTTTTCTTTTGCTTCCCTTCACAGTGTTCACAATAGCCGAGCAAACCCTACTGTTCTCAACCCGCTTCATCAAATGCTCTCTTTTAAATCCCAGGCTCACCACAGCACCAAAACAACAAAACCCAAAGACCCAATCTTTAAACCCTAATTTCCACCCCTTGATGAAATTTGCCCCAATCAAGCACAAACCCAACACCCCCAGCGACCGACCACTTAACTCCATCCCCAACACGAAGCACAAGATGCAAAGCCCAAAAGAAACCCAAATCCCCAACATTCTCTTCTTCCTTTTTCTTCTCCACCCATCAAATCCTCCTCCTCCTCCAAAACCTTTCAGAAAACCCAATCCACCTCCGTCTCCACCGCCAAATTCACTGAGAACCAGATCGAGCGGCCGTGGCAAAATCTTTGAATTGGAGACGAGAAACGAAACCAGTTCGAGTATAATTTCTCTTGATCGTCGAGACCCAGATCGCGTTCTGTTCTTTCTTGCACACGTAATTGCATTTCGGCAACGGGTTTGATGTGGAAATGAGAGAGAGGAGCGAAGAACTGGAGATTTTGCCGCGAATGAGGTCACCCAATGACAATCTGCAGTCGGTTTTAAAAGAAAATTTTGGTCTGGAAGAAGAAATCTGAAATTGAAGTGAAGGGTGTTCTGCATTTTGTAAAGAAGAGAGTATGGAGGAGAAGCGATGACCGTTGCTTATTTTGAATTTTTCTGCGCGAGTTCGAGGAGTCAAAGATTTTCAGATGGGTTCAGAGCAAAACAACGAATAATTTTTTGAGAGAAGAAATTAGTAATTCATTTAAACCGTAAATGAAATTTCTTTAATTCTTTTAAAAAAGGAAAATATTACCAATATTTTTATTCAATTCAAAATTAAATTAGTTCAACTCATATTCCCAAATTCATAATAATAAACTTCTAATTTTATGAAATAATAGCAAAAACGTCTGACTTAATTAGAGTTTAAAACCTACATTTTAAATTAAATAACTTTATGAACATAAATCCAAAAGTATGCATGCACCAACAGCTGTATATCATATTATTTATTTAATATATATATATATATATAAGCCAACATTATTAACTAGTAAATGTCTGGGGGCCAACATATATTTTTCAAGCCTGCACTTTTATTTGCTTTTTAAGCCCAAGAGAGTGAAACGTGTTAACAAAATCAATGCTAAAAATTGACTTTTTAGTGGATAAGAAATTGTAATAATATAAAACTAAGTAAACAAGATATACCAAAACTCAAATACCAACTTCTGAATTTGCAAGAACCATGAGTTTCTATCCATGAAATCTTTATTCCATGCAGTGAAATAGCCTCTTGAGCTTTTAAAACTGCACTAAGCTCTCCTTCTTGCCGTATCAATTACTCTAAAACAACATTTCCATTGTAAGTGTGGAGGCAAATAGAATAGAACTGGTCAAGCAAATTGTACAAATTTTCTGCCATGCAAATAACATGATTCATCAATTCAACTTTGATATATAACCCTCTGGAGAAAGACTGCTGATAGAGACTTCTTTCATTTGTGTCCTCCACACTAGTGGATGAGAATGTTGAACAAATATTGTCAAGTCATCTTGGCTCCATTTTCTCCACGCTTATCATGTATGGTGACAGGAGAAGGCAAAAGGCAACAAACCTTATTAATGGCAAACCCACTTTTACCTTTCCGAATAAGCACTGGGTAGGTGAACTGTGGCGGTATTTATAAGGACTTAGCTGCGTATATGCGTGCATTTCTATGCACGAGATAAAGGATGAAGCTTTAAAGAGTGAAGTACAGGGCTGTGACTCCTGGTTCTAGACAAGAACATTGCAATACTGCCATGGGAAGAAGTGTTGAGAGGGCAATTCCCGTGTCTGGTTTGGTGCCTGGGGAAAAGCCTAACCAGTGTGTCATCTTCCCGGTTAGTACCAGTATGGTTGCTGAAGCACTGGAAAGAACAAATCAGAGCTGGTAAGGGTCAGCGTATATGCATATATACGTCTTTGTGTGTGTGTTTTCTGCCATGTGATAAATTAAAACAAACGAGTCAAAAGTATAAATGTACAAAAGGCAGAATTTATATGGTTCTATCAAAGTTATCTATTTCATAAGAGAATGAATCTGGATTCACTATAATTTTTTTTGAAGATTATGATGTGATTCTCTCAATCAAATCTGAGGTCTAATATACCAAAATCTCCCAAAATAGTTAAGATACCAATTATCAGGGTAAATTTACACACATTCACCCACATACACATATGCATAGGCTACACTGTAAGAAATAGCTTCACCCGCCTCTCAAAACCTGTTAATGTCTCAACAAGATTTAACTATATCTATTTGTATTTAATCCCATAAAATCCAGACATACTCTAAAAATAAGACACTCTATATATGTTCATATGAAAAATTAGGCGATGCTAACAATGATGATGCTTTGTTGTCTAAGCTAATACTCACCATGTGGCATGCAGGATTGTTAGGACAAAAGCTGCGAGCGATCTGATTGTGCTGATTGATGGTTCAAGCTTTCACTTGCACAAGGTGAGTGATGTATCTTTCTGATTGAACAGGAAACATATGAGTAATCTCACCGCTTTCATTTCAATAAAATAAAAACAATTTGCCCGGGCCTGAGAGAAGCCCATGGTCATCTAGTCCCTGCATCTGATCTGCAGTAGCATACAAGCAGAGAATAGCTTTAGAAATTTAGAACAAACCTGCTAAAGATGTATCTAATCATTGTTGGATATTCAAAGAAGAAACTTCTGGTACAGATCCTTTTGAAAAATTTTAGGCCATGTTTAGTTGCGAAAAACAATTTTGAACAAAAGATACCTCTTTTCACTATCATTTTTCAAGATTTGGAGAATGATAGTGAAAGTACAGCATGAGCTTACAAAGGAATGATAATGTTTTTTCTCCAACTCGTGCTAATTTTTTACCATAATTCTTTTTCGTGTGTTTAGCTACCGATGGTCTCAAGAAGTGGATATCTAAATAGAATTGTGTTCCAGAGAACAAGCAATATGGAGAAAAGAACCAGCACCTGTATCCAGATAGATGATCTTCCGGGTGGACCTGAAGTTTTTGAATTGGTGGTAAAATTCTGTTATGGATGGAAGGTTGAGGTAGTAGCATCCAATGTTGCTCCACTACTCTGTGCTGCAAGTTTCTTGGAGATGAGTGATGATCTTGAACCAGGAAATCTCATCTCCAAAACTGAATCTTTTCTTAGCTTTGTAATACTTACATCTTGGAAAGAAACATTTCAGATCTTCAAGAGTTGCGAGTCCATATCTTCATGGGCTAAAGATTTGCAGATCTTGAAACGATGCTCAGAAGCTGTTGCTTGGAAGGCCTGCATAAATCCCAAAACATTTCACTTTGAAGACAATAATGCACAATGTTTAAACTTTCTCGTGGATAATAATAGCAAAGCAAAAGTTGAAGATATAGCTGATAACTGGTGGTTTGAAGATGTTTCAGCCCTCCGAATAGATCATTTCATCGAAGTGATTGAATTGATTAAGACTAAAGGGATGAAATCAGGGCTGGTAGGATCCTGTATAGCTCACTGGACCTCAAACTGGCTTTCAAGAATCACTGTAGGAATTGACAACCAGACTCCCATGCATATGAGACAACAGTTGCTAAGAGTTACAACTGAAAGTTTGATAAGGATTCTGCCAGCAGAAGAAAATTCTGTTTCTTGCAACTTTCTACTGTATCTTTTTAAATTGGGTTTAATGATGAACGTGAATTGTCAACTGTTGAATAAGCTGGAGAAAAGACTATCTTTCCTGCTGGAAAAATGTCGTGTTCCAGATCTCTTGGTTAAGAATCATGGAGAAAATGATAGTGTGTATGATGTGGAAATCATCATCAAGGTTGTGAAATCTTATGCTTCTTCTGTCTTGGGAAATTCTGAATCAAGAATATTTGCAGTTGGAAAATTGGTGGATGGATTTTTAACCCTAGTTGCCAGGGATAAGAATCTTACAATTCAAAACTTCCACTCACTAATAGAAGCATTGCCTAGAAGAGCTCGCCATTGCCATGATAAACTTTACAGAGCAATAGACATGTATCTGAAGGTATGAACTATTTCTTAAGTGCAGTATTCTAGATCATTGTTCAAGCTCTAGCAATCCCTCAGTAATTATTTCTTCAGTTGTGTTTAGTTCAGATATATTATATTTTCTATTTGATTTTTAGATCTTAATTATATTTTTCAATTGCACAGTAATAGATATGTATTTTCACTTGTTAAGGGAATAATCACAAAAGATACCTTATTTGAATTTGATGTAGAACTATAATACCATTTTTGTTCAAATTTTTATCATAATATATTGTATTTCTTTTTCCATTTCATAGAACTAAAACTTGAACCAACTTAACCTTAGTTTATCATGTAGGCGCATCCTAACTTAACAGAAGAAGAAAGAACAAGTGCGACTAGAGCCATGGAATATCATAAACTATCACAAGAAGCACGCCAGCATGCGATGATCAACAACCGGCTACCCTTAAAAACTACGATACAATTTACCCTTCTTGAACAATTAAATATGACAAATTCAATGACAGCTGCAGGATTAAACTACAGAAGAACAACGACTCAGACAAATACAAAAGCAAGTGGAGGTTCTGAGAAGGGATGGACAGCGCCACAGCATGAGATCAGGGTGATGAAAAAAGAAGTTGAGACAATGAAGATTCAACTCAATAAATTGCAAACGTGTAAACGAGAGATCCAGAGACAAGCAAGGAGATGCATCACAGACAAAATGAAGCTTGGTAAAATTGAACCAGTGTAAGCTTTATTTCAGTGTGGTTTGAATCTGTTTTGGCATTTGTTTCTGATGGAGTGAAATGTAACATTTTCGCACTTATACCTATCCTACTCTTCTGATACTAACACTATGAGCAGTGCCTTAAATAATGATACTAGTTTTTGCCATTTTGAGATGTCTTCAAATTACTACTCAGTAATTCCTAGTATGGAAGAATCCTTATAACTCGGGGTGGAAATTTTTTTATCCAGGCCACAAAGGTTCTGACATGAAATTGCAGATGCTCGGTGACTGAAAATTCAAGCTATATAATCTGTTAACTTAAATTCACCGAAGGCACAAACTTCAGTCATAGACCCTTGCTATGTCAATTAAAACTAGAAAAAGCTAAGCATTTGAAAGCCTCTATATCTGCATTTGAGAAGAATTACAAACATGATAAAATAAAAGGACAAAGCATTCGGGTTATACTATAATCAACAACATCTGGCAAATGTGACAAGTATGGCTTAAAATGTTTTGAACTAGCTTATTGTTATATCCTAGTCCAAAAATACACCTATATGGTTATAGGTGGAGTTGTCCAGTTATATATAAACCATTGTAAATGGTTATACTTTGTTCATGTGGAAGTATATCTCTTAATACCCTGATACTCCAATACTTAGTCGAGATTGGATCCCCCAAATATCTACAAATTGAGTTAGAGTTGTTGGATGTGGAAAGAACTCAAGACAAGATTAGTGACTTCAAGAACTCATTCGACACAGTAGAGCCAAGAGCATACTGGATGTAAAACTTGCATTCTTATCTGGCATGCTGTTTCGACAAATAAGTAAGTCATTTTGTATTATCTTCCAATTGGCCAAGAGCCTAGAGGCAATAGATAGCAGCTATATAGGTTCATATATGGTTAAGAGTTATCCAATGGCTCTCCTCAATAACCAAACAATTTAGTAATGCATCACATAAGATGCACTTCCAAACAAGTGAAATCTACTAATGCATCACAGAGTAGAGTCATTCAGATATCCAGTGCTACTAATGCAGTCAACAAACAAGTGAAATGTCTCACTTCACCCTCATTTCTAATCCTTGAATCAAAGAAATTTTAGCTAACCTTCTACAATCATGCACATCTTCTCCAAGCAATTTCTGTTGCTTTGATGACTAACGTTTTTATGGAAGTTCCTTCAAGAAATCTAGATGTTTCAAATCTTATACAAGTCGGACTTGCCTAATTAGATAATTTAATTAATCATCAATCGAAAATGTTTCTGTTTTTAAGAATGATTAATGATGTGGCCATAAGATGTCTGCAGATCTTACCTCCTACGGATATTTGGATGATTATAGCTATATGTTAATGTCATATTATATTAATCTTCAATTTCATGTGCTGTAATCCTTTCACTATAGTGCTCTACTCTAACCGCATAAATTACATATATATTTTTTAAATATTCATAAATTATAATTTTATTCCACAGCTGGATATGATTCAAATTTCAGACAAAAATGGAAGTAAGAAAATGCCATTTCAAGAAATGTTTTAGCCATTACACTCCGCCCAATTATGGTTATGAAATTATGCCATGTTCATGTATGGGAATTATATAGTTGGACAAAAGCTATAGAAGGAAAAACATTGAAAACAAGAAAGATTTACTACTGGTACAACATCTAATATATAGTCTGGTTTCATGATTTCCAGACAGCTCCTAATATTCTCCATTTTCTTCTTTTTCTTTTTTGTTTTGATCGGCCATGGTGACATTGAAGGATC